TCACATCGCGTGCCTCAAGGCAGCAAGTGTGTCACCAAGCGGCATTGCCAGTAGGGCCAGGGCAGCGTCACACAGCCTTGACAAGAAGTTTCTGAAAGCTTCCCAGGCAGCTGCATGGAGCCAAAGAGACTAAAACACACCTAGCTGGGAATTGCTGCCCAGCTGGAAGCTGCAGTCTAGATGGGCAGAACGAAGCTCTTCAACCTACAAATGCTGCCAGCGTGTCACCTATTTGACACAGTAGCCAGGAAAGTGGAAGACAGTGAAGTTAGGAAGGATTGAAATCCTCCCCAAAAGAACGAAAAACAGCTTTTTGAGAACCAAGCTGCAGTATTTTATTGACTAGCAAATGACTAGAGATACAGGTCAGGAAGTTGCTGCAAGATGTATATGAGTTGTATTTCTCTTCATCTGCTATCTGGACCCTAATAGCTTCATCTTTTCCTTAGGTAGTTTTCACTCTCCTAGGAACTGGCAATGAACTTTACAGCTTGTGTGTCATTATGATGAAACAGTGTTCCTTCATTTGCATTCCTGTTCCAGTGACACCTGGTAGCTTTTACTGTTGCCCACTTTGAAAAGGCATTGCCCATGGCAACTAAGAGATGGATTGGCCTGAAGAGGAAATGTAATATGTAGTTAAAAAAAAATAATTAGCATTAATTTTGTTTTGTAGCATCATTCTTGATTGTTATTTATAAAGTGAAACTCATTTCGTTTTCTTGGTCACTTAAAAACTAAGCAAGACAGCATTGAAATGTTAAAGTTGTAGGTCTATAATTTATGCATTTGAACTGACTTCTTGTGCTTCACTTCTGAATTGAATAACCTCACAGTTAATAGGATTATACATTATTCCAAGTACAAGAACAGGCAAGTCTTACAGGAGCATGCAAGCCAGGAAAAGGTATGCATCACTGACTTACGTTCTTTTGTGCTGTCATGTCATTCTGCACAAATGCAGTGCTTTAAAATGTAGCACCTCACTCACAGTACTTTTCCTTTGCAGCAGTAATACTGGGAAGCAAAGTCATCTATGATGTGAAAAAGTAAACGGTCAGTCAGAACATTTCTCTGAGTCATTTGTGTTTCCAGCCAGTCTGCTGCAAGTGTCTTCTATTAAGACCATCAGTGGCTTTGGACAGAGAAGTTCTAGTCTCAGTTTTGGTCCATTTCACAGTCAGGACTGATACCATCAGCCTGCGGCTGTGCTTGCTCTCGAGCCTATTCCAGGCAACTTCTCTAGATAAAAAGGCAGAGATAGCACCACAGAGACAGCTGTCCTGTCACTTAGAAGAAAAGCCTATTGCAGTTCCCTCACATAGCTCATCTTGTGCTGTTTTTGAGCAGTACCCTGTATTACGATGTCCCCCTTCACAAGCATCCTGTGTTACTCTCAGTCTTAAGGAGTTCTTGCAGGAGTCTTTAGTCTAGCCAGTCTAGCTGTTCTCTGACCAAGAGTGAAATTAAAAGGTTATGAATTTGGTAGCCTTCGTAGTTTTCATTATGGCCCACAGTTCAGTAAAACCTGTCATGGCCAAGAACCAGAGCAATTAGCACTGTGCCCACTTCTCCCATACCCTGGATTCTCATGTGTCTTCACTAGAAGTGGGCTGACATCACTAGCAGTCCTGTTTCAGTGCCCTGAGCCTGCCTTTTAGTTGTGTAATTGAATCAAAGCCCATTGCATCCCTTATGTTTAAGAAAGCCGTGACTCCCAGAGTTGCTTTCCTTAACATCCTCAGCTGCTGCTGCTCTGCGTAAGGCAAAAGCAGGATGGAAACTCTCAGGACATCTCCCTTTGCTGCACAGTCTGGTGTCAGCACATTTTCTACTGTTTCCAATTCTCCTTCCTGCTTTCCAAACCTGACTACAACGTTTTTGGTCCTGCGCAGCAGCTTAGCAGAGGGTCCAGGATGGATAGTTACCCAAGTGGCTACCCTTTAACTTTCTCTTATTAGGTGGAGCTGAGAAAACCTTTGGTTTCTTTCATATTTTTTTTTTTGTTATCCACTAACAGTGCGTAGGATGCACACCAAAGAAAAGATCTCCTATTCTTCGTTGCCTAGGAACATTTGTCTAAACTAGCATCTTAAAACACTGTTCTTCAGAGAGATTTCTCTCTCATTCTTCAGATAAAACCAGATGACCATCAATAGGCCTTCCCTGGATGGCACATGAAAGCAGCAGCCACCACTCCCAAACATTCTGTGTTAAGATTCCTGCTTGGTTATTGCTCATAGCAGCCATCAAACTGTATTTATTTCAAGCAGATATGCACCTGTGAAGGCATTAAGTGCTTTCATAGCATTCTGCATTCCAGGAACATACATGAGAAAGTACATTCCCAAGAGTAACACAAGTAGGTATTAATTTCCCACAGTAGATGTCAATTATTTTGTCTCTATATCTTAACTTTTACTGCATCTATGTGTGATTCACTTGTGTTGTGCCAGAAGGAGGGAGCAGCTGTTATTTTCAGACAAGTAAACAGCCCCTTTGACCACGCTAACCAGTCAGATTTGTTACCACTACACAAAGGTGCAGATTTTGCTTTCATGTGCTCTGTGTTAAGCACGGGTAAACACACAGAATAGGTATCCTCACACCATTTCTGCCACTACACACTTTCCAAAACATCCATCCATAGCAGCCCAAGCACAGCAGGGACTCACTGGGCCACCAAAGCCACCAACCAAACTGAGCTTCCCAATAGATTGAGGGTCCTGTTCACCTGCTGCGTGATGTTTTATTTCTGTCTAGGATTCAAATTATTTTCTGTACCAAACAACAGTTTGGATTGCTACAGATTTTTCTGCCATCAGAAAATATGCTCAAATACAACAAGAACAAGCTGCAGTCAGTAATTAGCAATAAAAGCTTGAGCAGTTTATGTTGTTCCTTTGCCCTTCCCATTGTCTTGTACCAGCCAGTCTTTGTTCCTCCTTCCCTTGCCAGGAAGTGTGACATGTCTTTTGGCTTTTCTCTATGGTGCAATGCAGATCTATAACACTGTACACAAACATTTTATAGACTGAATCTATGTAACCATAGAGAATGACTGTCTCCAAGGTTGATGGAATAGTAGAAATTGGATGTAAATAGTTGTTGAAGTGAATAAGCAGATTTGAAGGACTTTTTCCAAGGCAGAGATTTAGACACACTGTGCCTATCTATAGAGAATGTCTAGAATTTAGACTTTTCACAGTTTGCACAGAGGGAAATGGATTTCTGAAGTGATTGTTCATGTGGTTTTACATGGACAGGACAAATGAGATTTGCATGTTAATTTAAGGTTAAAAATAATTCTGCCTCATCAAGGCAGGTATTTCCACGTTCAGTATTTAGGAAAACAGAGAAAATGAGGGCAGACTTGAAGCAATGACAGCCATCCATACCATTCATGCAGCTTCTCAGAAGAAAAAAACCCCACAAACATAGCCTTTTGTTTCCAGTAATGATCCATCCCACAGATTAGAGAAAACTAATCTGCTCTTTTAGTAACAGCTGTATCCATTTGTACAAAATCAACTTCATTGCATTACAGAGAATAGGGAATGGAGAAGAAAACAGCCTAAGACAAATTGAACCAGTGAAAGACAGTAATGTTGTTTTCCTTCTGAGTAAAGAAGAGGCTTTTATTTTAGTTTTCCTTGTTTGTGTGTAATTTGCCTAACTTTGTCAGCAGTCATTTCTCCATGCTAAAGGAGATGAGGTACCATGACATCAAACAGTACATCAGTACAATGTAAACAGTTTTGCAAGTGAAATGTTCGCTTAGGGCACATTTGTTGGATACTAACTGTGACCTATGTTTAGATTGCAGATAGATTGCTCCGACTAATAATCACAGAATGGCCAGGGCTGGAAGGGAACTCAAGGACGATGAATCTCCAACCCCCTGCCACACGCAGGGCCACCAACCTCCCCATTCGATACCAGCCCAGGCTGCCCAGGGCCCCATCCAACCTGGCCTTGAACACCTCCAGGGATGGATGGGGGCACCCACAGCCTCTCTGGGCAGCTGTTCCAGCACCTCACTCACTCTGAGTAAAATTTTGAGAGGTGCTCATCTTGAGGTCAACGTTGTGCCATCAGTCAGTGGCAAATGCCCATTGTGTTCTCTGGGAGCATAATAAGGCCAGTAGAGAGCACATTCCTAACTCCCTCTCGTCTGTCTACAAACTGAAGTCATTGTTAAATAAAGGGCTCATTGTAGATGGTTAGTTGAGGAAAAATATTGTTGTGAGAGCATGCAAAAACTGATCGAGCAAAATACTTAAGGCCACATAAGGAATGGAAAAGTCCCAGCTTCATTTGTACCTCAAGGCAACCTTGCCCATAAGCATGTCACTAACAAATATTTTTCTTTCCAAATGTGCTCTAAAAATGACTTTATGAACTACTAAATACCCTCTTTTACATATCTCCTCCATGTTACATTTTATCTCAGAAAATCTGAAAGAAAAAAAAAAGAAGGGAATGGTTTTAGATGTTCTGTTGTATGCTCTACTGTATTCAGACAAAACTGAATGCTAAAGGCTCTAACAGCAGCTCCAAAAACCCCTTCCTGGAGTGGTTCTTCCTTCTGACACGTTCCACATTTCAACTAAGACTGTGCATGACAGAGCTGCAGCACTGAACTGGTAGCGACAGCTTTAATGTGCTGTACCTTTGTTCCCCTGTTGATTTTGCAGATGTAAAAAAAAAGAAAAAAAAATCTGTAGAACTTTTGGAATAAAATTGTAGCTGCTGCTGTAGCTAAATTGCTGCTAAGTGTCTAGGTGATAAAAGCTTTCTCCTACGCCTGCTGCTCTGAACAACAGGAAAATGTATGCATCTTTTTCCAGTAAGAAAAAGGCCTGATAACATTAGCATTTAGACAAGACATTGAGCTGATGATTGTGAAATGCATTAATGGATGTGTCACTGTTTTAAAGGAGCACATCTAATGGATTGCTTATACGGGCCATCTCATTATACTTCCTTATTTTTTTTAGGATATTAAAAAACAAATTGCATGGATCAAAATAAGGCTCTCTTGTGACCTCCTCACCTCAAGGGCCTGCATTGTACAGAACCAACTCCAGTTTCCAGCCAGCTGCGTATAGCACTGAAGGAAAATGAACATAGTGAGCAGGCACCACTCTTTGTGCTTTCTGCCTACCATACGCCTTGTCATCTTACTAGCAGCTCTGACAACTGCTGAGGATGTGACTAACAGCACTTTCAACCGCACTGGCACAAACACAGGATCTGTGCCTGTGGTCATCTCCCACATCGACCACATCATAGTCAAGGAGGGGTGTAGTGCCTTGATTGACTGCAATGTCCAAGGTAGCCCTAGTCCACATTACAGATGGTACAATTCCAACGGCCGCCTGCTCCAAGAGGAAGAGAATAAAGGTAAGGTTTTTAATATTATCAGCAATGTAGCCTGTCTTGAGACACTTCTGATTTCAGCAAGTTAACTAAAAATTAATCTTAATTTAATAACTGCACACTGGTATTTTCCTGCAGGAAAATATACAAATCGTATCAGCTATTGTATGGGAACAGCTGAGTCAGGGCCTGAACCTCCGATTGATCACCTGAGGCGAGCCATGAGTCAGCCAGAGGAGCACAGGTGAAGGCAATTCAGCTGTGCTGCCTCCTAGCCCTATTTAAGAGCTGGCTACTGGGGGAAGGATCTCTTCTGGAGATCTGCTCTGCTGGTGTTTGGTGAGCGAGCCCAGAATAGGGGCAAGCCTTCTATTTATTCTCTTTTGTTATCATAGTCTGCTTTGCCTAATTCTCTTGTTTATTTTGTGATTGTAACATCTTAATATTCTTTGATTATACAGCTATAAATGTTGTGTGCATCTCAGAAGAAAATTTTTTTGTAGTGTGTTATTTATAGCAAACCGTAGCAAGAAGCTGAAATGCTTATATTGTAGGCAGGCTTCTTTTCATTGGAAGACTTCAGGTTTGATCCTATTATTCATTCTTTTCTCTTTGTTCTTCTCTGACACCATGGAAGACAGAAAAGCTGTTTTCCAACTCAAGGAAAGATTTTTGTGGCATATGGGAAGAGTTCATTGGCACAGTTTCAAAGAAAGAAACTTCTTGCTTGCTCTCCCCATCTTTATGTACCTTGACATGTGTGAGAAACAGGAGATGCCCTGAATAACCAATGAAAAAGTCTATGTAGGGGCATGTTATAGTTGGTGTTACAGCTGGAAAGATGATTATGGTGAAAATGGGGAAAAAAAAACAAGCAGGGAAGGAGTGTGCTAGTGCTTTTAGTGGCAATGGTGATGAGGAGACAGTTGGAATAGATGATTTTACATGTTGTTTCCAACCTTGTGATTCTATGATTCTATGCTCACCTGAATCCAAAGATCCAGGTTCTCAGGAAGGACTCCACAGAGGAGGGATGTCCAGAAAGAGACCCTTCCCCAGTGGCAGTCAGCCCTTAAACGGGGGCTACAGCTTCACCTGTGCTCCCAGGGCTGACTCAGGTGATCAATCAGTGGTTCAGGCCATGGTTCAACAGTTCCCACAGCGGGCAGTGGTTAGATGGACGAGCCATGTGTGAGCCATTCTGGCTGCACTAGGACTGCTGTATTTGCCAGAGACCTTCATTTCACATGAGCTTGCTGTCCTTAGGTAAAAGGAAGGTTTGGTGGATAATTCTACTTCTACTTTTAGGGAACATTTAGTGGGGGGGAGATGGAAGGTGTTTTGTTCCTTTTGTTCCTGTAATGCTTCTATACTGACTGCTTTGTTCACAGCACGATGAAATAAACTCTTAATAATTTATAATTGCAGGACAGCTTGTCTAAATAACAGCTGAACTGAGGGACAGCTCTATGGAGTTACGGAATTATGGAAATGATTGACCCAACTATAAGTGCTACAACAGCATATCTATAACAACTTATTACAGAACAGACTGTATTTTTACATTTCAATGTTTTATATATATATTTTTTCTATAGAGCTGGAGAAAGAAGCTGCTTGACTTAGTTAAGCCGATGTAATGTGTGCATGGTGATAAGACCACATAGAGAGTTTTGCTAGGGTTTACCAATAGAAGCTTTCCTGTTTAGCTAGGCATCTAACTTTTGATCTTAGTGGAGCTGACAGAGAGGTAGCTGCTAACACAAGCATTCAGATAGATAAGCAAAATCTTTGAGCAAATCAATGAAAATGCAAATGTGGTGTAAGAAAATGTAACTTTATCTTGGACTTTTCAGCAATGCACTTCTTGAAGAATACGGTTCACGTAAGAAATGTTCCCTAGCACAAGATGCATATGTGTGGTTAGGCTGAAAAAGGTGTTCAGCTGTTACAAAAAAATATAGCTGTGACACCTTATCTACTTATTGTTTTCACATGTGGCTTACATTGTCTGCCAGGGTCTTTGAATCACAGTTCAGTGCTGTTATCTCATTTGTAGTAGTTGGAGCCAGAACACATCAGCAAGATGACTTGTCAGTTTACAGTGAACAAAGACCTACTTTGCCAACACTGCAATTCAAAGAAATGCCCAGCAGCCAGTACTGTACATCTTAACCCAGAACTGGAAAAGGAAGTGTTACAGATGATGACACATCCACTGTAAAACAGTTTTACTCAAAATTTCCCCATCTTGTTCTGATTGGAGTGATTTCTTCTATGTGAAGTTCTGGTTTAAAATCTAATATTTTTAGTGTTTAATATTTATATATTTATATACTAATATTTATAGTGTTTAATTAGGAAAAAAAAAAACCCACAAAAATGATAAAAGCCCATACCTGCTATGTATTAAAAATGTTTTTTTTGGACTGTTGAGTTTCAAAATTGCCCAAAGATTCTTCCTGGAAAGAAATAAGGTAAGAAATAGAAGAATCTTTTGAACAACAACAGAAGAACTTTGATGGAAAAGATAAAATAAATGTAGATATAAGATGTGCACCAGCCTACAGCAGGACTGCAGCAATGTGAATTTATATGCACTGCATTGGAGTTTTCTGTTATTTTAGTCCTTTCATCACAGATCTGCTGTCTTTGGTCAGCTACTTCAATAGATAGAAATTACAGCAAGCTAAGTTAGATTTAAGGAAAAAGAACTTGAATAGTAAGGATAGGTAAGCACCTGAAATCCCTTGTTGTGGAAGACAATAGAAACTCCATCACTGACTTCAATAGATGCCTATCAGGAATGGCTTGGGGCTGTGTTAAGGAGGTGGAAGATACTTGAGTCTGTACCTCTGGAATTCTTGGTTTTTTTTTAAGTTTACTTTAACAGAATTACATAGATTACTGTAACAAAACACCAAAAATAACCCAATGAAGATGCAATGAAATGCACTGTCATGGAACAAAACAAGTAGATTTTTCTGTCTCACAATCTTGTTATTGTTCTTTGAGGACGTGGGGCATGTGTTTGGGAGGCTCTCTGGGATAAGCTGCCATCCTTTTATCTGTCTGTGAGATGTTTGTAGATGTCATATGTATTGACTAATTTTTATGAGACTCTTTTAAGGCATGAAATTATAATAGATTTGAAGTCAGTGTCCGTGATTTGTTAACTAGCTAGGAGATCTCTGAGAGAAACCCTTTTGTGACAGGAAATTCTTTGTTTTCTCATCAATGTGATTTCCCTTTTCCAAAATCTGAGGCCAGTTGACAAAGCTGACTTTTAAACTATGCTAATCACGTGAACGAGATGCTTCTAAGTAAGCTATGTGTTCTCCTTTCCAGCAGGAAAATGGTGGTTTCTTGACAATGGGCTCCTCAACATTACCAGCGTGTCTTTTGAAGACAGAGGTAAATACACGTGTGTCGCATCCAATATGCACGGCAGCGTTAACAATACTGTGACTCTGAGGGTCGTCTTTACTTCTGGAGATATGGGAATCTACTACATGATTGTCTGCCTTGTAGCTTTCACCATTGTTATGATACTGAACATTACGCGGCTGTGCATGATGAGCAGTCACCTGAAGAAAACGGAGAAAGCAATCAACGATTTCTTCAGAACAGAAGGAGCAGAGAAACTCCAGAAAGCCTTTGAGATTGCAAAACGTATCCCAATTATCACTTCAGCCAAAACGCTCGAGCTTGCCAAAGTAACACAGTTCAAGACCATGGAATTTGCTCGCTATATCGAAGAGCTTGCTCGGAGTGTGCCTTTGCCACCTCTCATCATGAACTGCAGGACTATAATGGAAGAAATTATGGAGGTTGTCGGTCTGGAGGAGCAAGGACAGAATTTTGTACGGCAGACGGCAGAAGGCCAGGAAACGGCTGAACCAGATGAGCTCTACACGATCCCGAATGCTTTGAAGCGCAGTGACTCTCCCACAGCTGACTCTGATGCATCGTCACTGCATGAGCCACCGCAACAGATTGCAATAAAAGTGTCGGTTCACCCGCTGTCCAAAAAGGACTGCATGGACGGTCAGTCACAGGAAAGCGTGCAGTTGGATACCAAGGAAGAAGACCTTCATCAAACACCAGCACTTCCAGCAGAGCCCGCTCCTGAGCCTTCTGCCGAACTGAGTTCTGATGACACAGCATTGGCAAATGACACGTGTGTTATATATGAAAGCCATGTATGATAGTTACTCCTGAATCTATGCATAGCAGGAAAATCAGGTGGAGCTCTTTTAAAAATACATATTGTACTTGCCGCTAAGCCTTACCAGGAGACTATCATAGCAAAGCATGTATGTGGATTATTGGCACTTTCTTCTCTGTTTGACTCTAATTTATCATGATGTATGGCAGAGTAATTGCTAATACATTAATACTATTTGCTCTTTTGGATTAGGAGTATTTCCAAGAAACATTTACCTCAGCGTTCTCTAGGCTGGAGTCACCTGTAGTGGCCACCTGGAAGTCACTGGTAGTATTTGATGTAGGACATCGAACTTCCTGAACACAAAACAGGTTTTCATTTTCTTCCTTCACAGTCATTATTTTCCATTATTTGGCAAATACTGTCTGGTGAATTTGAATTATTGCCCAAGAGGCAGCGCTCCCGTAGCCAAATAAAGTCCTAATAGATTACTTTTACAAAGCCTGTTTGCTGAGCTGCATTGTGATTGAAAAGGCCATTAAAGTAAGTTAAAATGTTTGCATTTCATTTAGGACAGGCCTGCTTAGGCACAAGGGAAGTAGTTTTCCCTTTTCCACTGAATGAAGATGCCAGGGAGTGGGTAGGCGGTTTTTTTGGGTTTTTTGTTTTGTTTTGTTTTGTTTTTTCTTGTCAAGAACCAACTTTAAGGTGTATTTTAAAGATAGGAAAGCCCTTAAGCATCGTACGAAAATTTGCAGTCAGAACCCTGCAGGTTTTTTCTTGCATTTGTTTGTCTGTCTCCAACTTAGCCTGAGGTTTGTAAGGAAGACAGTTGCAAATATACAGGATGTCTTGCTTTGTAGTAATTTGAAGACACACAGCTGCATTAATAATCCTGCAAACTCCAGTAGTCGGATGATGACAAGGGTGAAATGCAGAAGGCACCTGTACTCGGATTCTCAATTTTGTGCGGACTTTTATTCTGGGGATCAAGTCTAAATTTATTTTTATCTGTGAGCGTAAGTTGGAGGATGTTATATCCGAATTAAAAAAAAATAAAGGGTGCTGTGAAATTATAATGACAGTCACACAAACTGTTTTACTGTGTTATAATTTCTTTGATATTTTAAGAACCTCCTGCATACGGTAGGATGTTTCCTACTGGAGAACATGTGACTCTATTCCAGTGTAACTTTTAGTATTACAGCAGTTGGGACATATTTAAAAAAAAAGATAGACATGTATGCCAGGAGTGGAAAGAATGTGGTCTTTTGTATTGCAGACAGACAATAAAAAGGACCTTATTTAGAGTAAGTCTGGAAAGAAAGCATTAAAAGGACAAGTTTCTTTAGGGTTAATAGCATGTTACTTCATTATCTGACGCATATTTAATTTGGAACTAAGGAACTTACTATTACCTAGTAGTTTTTAAGGAAGACTGTGGTGTATGTATAGATATTCAAATCTGGAATCTAGTAGATTGGAAAAAATAAGTCACGTAGGTCTACGGAGAGGTGATGCGTGGATGGCTCTCTGGAAGTGTTACTCAAGTAGTCATATCTACATAAGGTGTCCTTTGGAGGTAATCAGCTGTGTTAGCTGCACAGCTCATCGAGACCAAGCAAAGTCAACATGGCAGCCATCTAAAAAAAGATGCTGATAACAGATTGAGGTTGTCTTCGTATTAAAGAGCAGAGCTTCACTAGCAGTGTAATACAGGAACACTTTGTGACTCACCTTTCCATGGTTACTGAAAAAATGCTTGTTTAATGAAGGACTTGAGATTTTGTGATAAACTCATGAAAATGTCAGCATTTAGTTGTCTAAAATTGGTGCTCACCGCTGTGGTAAGCATCTCTGCAAAATGCATTTGCACACATCCAAAAGGAGACACGCAAGGGCAAAATCCCTCAAGGAATGAGGCTGGAAACGTTTCAGAGAGAAGCAATATAAATCTAGAACGAGAGGTAAGAACAGCATGAGGAACCTCACACCTGACTGGTGTGATTTCAAACACTTGTGGTGCAAGCTTATTACTTTGTCTGAGTCCAAAATACATTTCTGTTCACTGATCGTATCGGTTTTTCTTCAAATCACTCACTTTGGTTCTAGTTTGAAAGAGGGTGAAGGCAAGGAAAAAAAAAAAACCAGGGACGTGCATTAAATTCCTTTTATTCACCTTGAGCTCCTGAAAAGAGGCATCTTGGTTTTTCTGCCTGCCCAGTATTTACCAACAATGGTGACATGCTTTATAAGTTAGCTGCTTGGTGCCCAGCTAAGTCTGCTCAGATGATAAAGGATGTTCTCCTTCAATAATTTTAAAATTGCACTTTAAAAAAAAAAAAGTTTCAAAAGTAAACTATGGGATTTAATTTTGTTTGCTTTCTAATTACCAATTTTTCCAGTGGAGACCAGACCCTTTCATGCATCCATGTGGTGATTGGTACAAGGCCATTCTGTTCCTGACTGCCTGATCCCATTTAGTATCTCTGTGTAAACTTCCTTGAAGATACAGTTCATATTTTTTTCCAAAGACTGCCCCACGAAGAGCATGTGTTTATATACAGACACACCTTAGGAATCATTTGTGAGCAACAGTAACTTGGAATGGATGCGTGCAATAGGCATGGTGCTGAATTTCTGCTGTTTGCAAGGTCAAAGGGAACTTCCCAACTGACTTTGCTGAAGCTGAAGTCACTGATTGCCAAGTCTTTACAGCCAGTGTGCTGTAAAGATTTTGGACGTAGAGCTTGGTGGTACTAATGGAATAAAACACAGAACAGTGCTGTACTGAAAGAAAACACAGTAATTGTTTTGTTTTATGTATTTCTTCTCTTTTATGTGTCTACTACACCTGAAAGCATAAAGCTTTTTCAATGCTTCCAGGTACTTCCTTTGTGGGAGGTATGTGGGCTGCAAGATCCAAACCCATCTTTCCTCCTCCGAATTTTCTGGCTGTGTTTTCCTAAAGTAAGCAATTTATATATATATATATATATATATATATACATATATATGTATATATATATGTATATATATATATGTATATATTTTCCTAGGGAATGGCTATTTTATGTCACAAGAACACTATTAACAAATATAAAATTATTGATGGTTTGAAAAAAACATGAACATATGCATTGTTGTGTATTTTTGTTCACATTAAGTACTTCAGGGACATTAGGTAATCTGTTGTCATATTTGGACTCTGCACACCTTTTGCTGTACTGTTTTATTTATCAAGCAGCAATTGTTCTGAAAGTGCTCAGCACTCGGAAAACCCTGTCTAAGAAAATTCACATTTTAAAAGCATACGGAACAACAGGCCTGCTCAGAAAGGAAAGGAAATTTGCAGAATATATTTATGCTATTTAAAATGTTTTTGCTGGAACTTCATGAAAGATGGCTAGGTTTGTGTAGCACAACAATCTATGTTGGATTTGATTTTTGACACTCACTGTTCTTTTTGCACTACGCATAAGATTGTATTAATCAGACCACTTGAACACTGTGCTCACCATTTACTGACAGCATTTTCTTTCTGATCAGCACTTGTTTACTGCTGACCCTCTTCTGTTTTCTGAACGCGTATGCTTGTAAGTCTCTCCCTTTCACTCATTTTTAAAGACTGTCATTTCAAAATTGTGAGAAAGGATAGATCAGCATTTTATGCAGGTTTGTTGGTATTAGGTGAGGCATAGCAGTTTGCTCCTTAAAAACTACTGTGTTATCATCATCAGTCTTGCTGAATGGCACATATGGGCAGATGTTGATTTTTACTTTTTTTTAACAGTGCCTGATTTATTCTATCGTGGGTACAATGTCTATTCCTCCATTTGCAGTTACCTTCTGACAAAAGTACTGTAACATAATCAGGGCTTTCTGACCTTCAGTTTGATTCAGAGCAACTAATTCTGAGAAGTATTAAGCGTTGAATTGTAAAAGTTCTCATGGCCTATCTTGGCAGCATGCTATTTTAAGAGTATGTCATACTTTGTGGGACAACTGAGAGCTTCTTGGAAAGGAAATGTTTGCACTGAAGTATCCTGTAATATTTCATTTGTTATGAAATCCTTTTAATTTTATGAGACATATGAGATAACGATGTTCTCTGGAGAAGCAGCTACTGTATTTTGATTTAAATAACTGCTACAGTTTTATAGTTCGCAGCCGTAAACCACAGAGACCAGTTCATGCTCTAGTGGCAAAAGGAATTGTGATCCAGCTTGTAAATTGGTCATTGATTCAAATAAAGAATTTGCACTGACTATGCTGAGTTTGTACACACTCAAAAAGATGGCACTTGCCTTATATGAGTACACCAAGGCTACAGTTCAAATGAAAGTAAACCATGGCTTTCATTGTACGTGTGCTAATACATCAGAACTTTGATCAGGAGAAACAGTTATTTGTCTAGACATGAGTTTTAATAAAGCTTTGAAAGAGAGCTGTTGTAATTATTCAGAATATAGACTAATTCTTGTATGAATAGCCCAGTCTGCTCACATTCATAGCATTTTCCCTTTGGAAGCGTGTCGGCACTTCTGCATGTAATCCAAAGGACTTTATGTCAGCTGTCTCCTCTCTGAGCGCTGTCATTGGGCCCTGCCAAAGAGTCTTGCTGCTCTTTCAGAGTGTCTCCTCTGCCAGAGGCGCCCTACAGAGTACTGGAATGGAACAGAAGTATGGATTGCCGTACCTGTTGAGGTTCAACAAGGCCAAGTACAAGGTGCTGCACTTGGGTTGGGGCAATCCCAGGTGTTTGTATAGACTGGGCGAAGAATCCCTTGAGAGCAGCCCTGTGGAGAAGGACTGGGGGTCCTGGTGGATGAGAAGCTGGACATGAGCCAGCAGTGTGCTCCTGCAGCCTGGAAGGCCAGCTGTGTTCTGGGCTGCATCAAAAAAGGGGAGGCCAGGAGGGAGAGGGAGGTGATCGTCCCCTTCTGCGCAGCTCTTGTGAGGCCCCATCTGCAGCGCTGCATCCAGGCCTGGCATCAGTGTCAAACCAATTTGCAGTTCCCTAGCCACCTCCTATATTGAGCACAGATTCTTGTCACATCTGCTCTGTCTGGATCTCTGCTGTGCGGGCACGCGCCATACGCAAGGCATTACTGCAAGAGTTATCAGAAAGAGCTTGCTTCCTTCATCTGCCATACTGGAAATTAGTTGCAGAAGTTTTTAGGTACGTGCTGGAGGCCACAGATAGCCCCAGAGCTCCAGAGTTCCCAGCCAGGGTGATTTGAAGAAGTAATGACACAAAATATTCTGTTAATGCTTACTTGCAATACCACAGTGGTCTTTAGATGTTGTGGATGACAACTGTGATGTAGTATTGCAGATGGGGTGATGTGCTGTAAGACTGTTCTGATTTAAGGAGGCAAAAAAAACGATGGAATGCCTACAGTATGACAGACAGCATCAAGATGTTCCCCTTTGCCTTCCTTCCAGCTGAATTCATATTGCTGTGAAGGGCAAGAGCATGAGTCCCCAGTGCCACCTGC